ACACACACACACACACACACACACACACACACACACACACACACACACACACACACACACACACACACACACACACACACACACATATATATATATATATATAAATATAAAGGTTAAAGTCTTACTCGCCCAATCGTGCATGCTAGATGTGTTGTTCGCGTATTGTATATCTACCATAAGCTTCATGTGAAGGAAGTGAACCAGCTAGTGGTCAAAACGGCGTCTGAGCTACAAACCTACATGACAGAAGTAAACCCTTCTCGTTCTCTCATGGGTTTCCTTTCGTTTCTGTCAAGTCACAAACCAGTAGACAGAATTTGCAAACTTTAAAACTAAAATTTGCTTCAGTATCAATTTCAGAACCTAGGCAACTACATTGCAAGTGGCCGAATACTACTCAAAGCACAGGATTTTTTTTTCTAATAGTCTGTCAGAGCTCTATGCGTTGCTTTTCTCTCTGAGTGAACTTCTTCCCACGAAACCTCAATTTTTCTTCGGCAGAAACTAATTTCTGAATCTGGAGTCGATGTGGGTAGGGTGGTGGTTGCGAACTCTGACGAAGAGCTGACTACGTGCCAGGAAGCCAAGTGGGAGCTTCACATCACTGATGCTGTAAGTTGTGCCCGTACAAGATAATATAGAATACTGAAGATATATAGTAGCTGCGATTTAGAGGTATATGTCCGGCGAGTAAATGATATATTGCAGTGATACACAGGAGCAGAAAGTGAAGCAATCGATCATCACAACATGGTATTCTATTGCAAAACATCGTAAGTTGTGTCCTTAAAAGGATATGCAGAATACTGAAAACCCATAGTAGCGATGGTGTAGATGTGCATTCGCGTCGCATAGTGTTACGTTGCAGTGATATAGTGGAAGCAGAAAATGAAGCACTCGTGGCACGGAAAGGGTACTCAATTCAAGCTATAGTGATTAATATGGAAAACCTTTTTTAGGGTTCTAGTTTTTGAATTTCGGACAAAGATTCACGCATTTTCGACTTCATATTAATGTGTAGGATGGGAAATCAGTTGATAATGCCGGACTCTCATTCTACGCCGAACTTCGGGGACCAGCGATTATTGTGCCCAGAGTCACATATCAAGGAAATGGCGTGTACAACATGCACTTCACACCACACACTCCTGGAGAATACAATGTTCTAATTCGCCTAGACTTTGCACGGCACGCCGGTGATCAGGCCTGCACGAATGAAAACACCTCATTTATGCTCGCGCAAAAGCTGCCCAATGCACCAGAGACCATTACAGTGGCCTCGAAAAGTAACGGGACCGGTCCTAATCGAAACGGGACAGTTGCATCCCACATGTGCGGTGAGGGTACTAGCAGGACGGATCATGAGCGGTACACACTGGGTCTACCTACGGGCCAGTGGATTGAGGTGTCGTGCAAAGAACCTGCCGATGACTTCGAGCGAGAAGCGTGCGATATTGGTCTGGTCGAATTCGTTACAGGTGAGTGATAGCAGGGGTTCAAAACCCCAAACCCTGAATTTTACCTTCCCCCCCCACCTCCACTAGAACCTTACAACCCAATTCGTTGCAGGTTAGTGATAGTAGGGCAGGAGCAGAGTCTACAACCCTAAACCCAAAGCTCTAAGACCCAATATTAGTATTGTTCCACTCCTACTAGGGGTTCAGCTATCATAAACTCGAATTACATACTAAAATCCTCTAGACTTTATACCTGGGTACACAAAGACCAAATACACCCTACTCTTCAGTACCCATTCACATCAACCCCACCGAGGTCGTTGCAGGCAATAATTATCTGAACGGACCTTCACATTTACATTTTGTTCTGTCCACCATCAACTCAATCCTTAATATCGACTATTTTTACTCACCCACACGACTTACAGGCTCGATTGACAAAGCCATCCCCGATTCTCCCGATCGAGGCCAACCCGAAAACTGCCAATGGGAGAGAGATTATCCCAAGAAAGAGGATCCAAACTATCTGTGGCGAGCCTTCTCGCCCACATACAGCCTGTTTCCCACGGATGAACTAAAGAACACTTGGGTGCACGTCATGGGCGACTCCATCGATCGCTTTATGCTGTCCGATACCATGTGCTGGTTGCTGAACCACAAGTTCGCAGAGGAGGGTCGCATGTGGGAGGTAGGTATACGGTATCGATCAGCCACTCCGTTCGAGAACACCCCCTCTGTTTAATACGAATACTCGCTTGACATATTTGGCTGGTCCATATACGAACATACTCAGATGTAGTCAAATTCACCGGGCATACATACAGGTACCATATCTCGACCCCACAATAGAGCAGCCGCAGAACCGACTCAGGACCAGTGTGAGAGTGTACCATTGGCCCAAGGCGAATGTGACGTTCTCGTACTACTCGTTCACCAAGCGTGTGCGTATTCCGCATGTACGCATGTACAACGACAACTATAAGGGTAAGCTGGATGTCATGCAATATAGCGTTGGACGCTCAGATGTCACTTCCATGCATATACACCATGACATACGACTAGTGGGCGTACACTTAGCTCGAAGCCAGATAGCACAGACTGATGTATGCTGCTATAAAACACAGTTATTATCATCCTAGCATTATTTCTAGCAACTGAAGCTCCGCGTCAAGGATGACCTGGGAGAACCGTGTATGTACTGTGGGCTATAATTGCTATAATCGATCCACGATATACCACTGCTCGCACTTCTCACCGTATACATCTGGCAAACCACGCTAACTAATGTAATACCAAAACATAAACATACTGATAGCAAACAACACACTCATGATCCGTATTTCATTTTGGGCTTCGCCCTACAGCGGCGCGTCAAGAATGGCCTGGGAGAACCGTGCATGCGTTGTGGGCCACAATTGTCCCACTCACCAAGATGTACCGACCATCGGTGTTTGTGCTGGCCTATCACTTGCACCCTGCGAGTGAGGGTCTGACTGATGACATCTACAGAGATACCTTAAAGCAAACTATTGGACACCTGAGATCGGGACCGGGACAGGGCACTCCGATTGTGTGGCGGAGGGGTACTACCACGCACATGCACAGGAGGTGAGTATACTACACATCTGGGTTATCTTTGGGCGTGTTCGTAACAATTCGTGAGATTGTGTTGATAGATCCGGTGTTCAGTCCGTCGGTGTTTGTGCTTGTGTATCACTTGCACCTTGTGACTGAGGGTCTAGCTGATGGCATTGATACCCTGTGTCAGACTATTGAGCACCTGGATTTAGGGCAAAGTCCTCAGATTCACACAAATATTTGGTGTATACCTGGGCCATGTTAATGTAGGTGATATCGGTTGTATATGGTTGCAGGAATTGTTTAGGTGCGCTGTACATCGGTTCTCGCGCTAGCGTAGCACTTGTGCCTCGCGAGTGAGCGAGTGACCTTTGATGTTCAGACGATCGAGTATCTAAGGCGTTGACCGAGAGAAGCGAACATTCTATTAGTGCGGAGGGGTACTACCATGCGTATGAATCTAGTGGGCAACCATTTAGGATATATAGACATAGTATACATATAGGTACATATATATACATAGGCATAAATATTTATACACATACATACATACTGATACATATAAGCACGTACTAATATATTTAAGAAATACTTTTAGTACACTTCAGAACTACCACTATTCTAAGCAGGACTTGTGGCACTGATGATCTATGCTGGTGATCGTTTTTGATTTATGTAGTTCGGGATTGGAAACGAACAAAGCAGGCGATAAGTGGACATGGACTCAGATGTATGCGCATTATCTAATTCATTCAAACATCTACGCAAATACTGATTAGCAAACAATCGATTTGTGTATGCTCACGGACTCACACATAAGATGTCTACAATATTGATCTCCTTTCCTCCTCGCTTGTGCACTATGTATACGCAGTCAAACCGTGAATTGCTTAAATTGAACCTTACATAAACACAGTGAACTCCCTAAAAGCCACCACTGTTTGCTGAATGATCGTTTGAGAGCACTCGATGCCGTGGCAATGCAACTGATACATGCAGAAGACATCGATGTCATTGACGAGTGGAGTTCGAGTCTGGGCCGCAAAAGGTATGTCATATGAGAGCCAGAGGGAGAAAGGTGCATGTTATAAATTATATTATAT